CCCATCTACTGTAGCTGTTATATCACAGTGCTGTTTGACCAGCTGTTGCACATGACTTGGCAGCAGGGAATGGACTTGAGTGTGTGTGTGTGTGTGTGTGTGATTGTAGCTGCATGCTCACTTTACATTTCCTTGTAAAGGACTTGTGCACTGTGCTCACATTTACATCAGTGTTAAGGAAGTAATCTTCAGTTTCTGCTGAGTTGTTGATTGAAAACCCAACCAGGGTTTCGTCTTCATTGTCAGTTTTTATGGCAACGAGGAAATGATTTCATCTGGACAATGACTGTAAATTAAACAGAAATGCAGTTCAGATTCTCTTTTAATATTTTTACACCTGCATTGTTTACATCTGCGAACAGTTTCTCCATCTTTTGCTGGCGCATTTTAATCTTTTACCCGACAGAATGTGAATGTTTACTCATGTATTTATCTAAATTAGTTTCTTAATTCAATTTTATTCACTACATATGTCGTCTCATAGCACTTCACATAGCAAGGTACAGACCATACAACTTTTAAAGAAGTCAGTGCTGCCGTCTTGATTTCAGTGCACAACTGTATTTAAAGAATATGCAAAATATTCATGTCAGGATATCGGAAATATGGTCCCATGGAAATTCTGACGTTCTTGATACCAAAAGCAAAAGATAATCCAATTAAATGAATGTATTTAGTCGAAAGAAAACTGAAATGGTGCTTTCAAGTAATAAAAATGGCAAGACTTCTACAGCAATGCACAGCTACCTTATAAATGAAAAAAGAATATCAATAATACATAGGCTAGGTGAAACAGATATAAAGAATATTAACATTACAAAAAACTGAAGTGTAGCGTTCAGCTATTCCAACAAATGCCGTGTCAAACTCACTCGTTCTGTTTGCTTGTGAGGTCTTGGCGTTGTTTTTCTGTCTCTAGTAAGCTTCAGATATAGTGTGCTATGTGTGTGTTGATCTGTTTGTGATGCTCAACGTCCTCCTCATGGTGATGTTGTGATAAGACCATTAGGGAAAACCACAGACAGCTGCACAAAGCATGCTAACGACAGGCTGGACGGCAGGATGAGGCATCGAGAACCGATTCCAAAGTTCAGAACTCGAAGGAATCATTAAGAAAGTTAATTTTGATTCTAATTATCGGTACCTAAGTACATTTCACTCATGCTAGTTTCTAAACTGTGAACTTCAAACACTTGCTGTGTATCTTCTGCTTTTTGTTTGCACTTTGCAAGCTGAGTCCTGCATGTTTTCCTGTCTCCTAATGCATTTGTCTTAATAAATCACTACTCTGGCATTATTTTACTATTCTGTGCATCTTATGTTATGATTAGCACGTTAGTGTCAGTAGCATGCTAATGTTAGCAACAGCGCCCAACTCACAACATGAGCTATATTAGCCTTAACGGGCTAAGTTAGCCTTCATGAACACTGTGTGAGTAGCATCGCAGTGACAACACAAACGGTAACAGAATGAATGAACAGAATTTTAGGATGTGAACGTTAAGATGACATGTTAATATAAAATTACAACTTGCACTCTTCTCAGCTTGAATTCTGTGTATAGATCTTGATTTTTGTCTTGAGTTGCCCAGATAGGTTTGAGTCGTTTGTAACTGGTCCCTGATTATCGATGCTGACTTTCACCATTTTTGGACTTCTTTTTGTTTTTTAACCTACAAGTTGCAGCACACCTGTTACTCCACCTGCATGTGCTGATGCCTGTCTGGTGAACTCTCAATGGGCAACCTAGGAAAGCAGCAAGTTTTCAAGATTTTGGTGTGGCTTGGGACAGACGTACTGCACCTCCCGACATCCCCAGTGAATACTCAGCCAATTCATTATTAAACTGGTCGACCTACTGCGACTTGTGACCTTGTACTCGTCGAGGAAAACGCAAAATCAACAAGCCACTCAGAGTCTTGTGTGCATTGTCATCCTTTGAGCGTGTCCCAGAGAGACGAGCACGCCAGACTGAATTCAGAAGTACGGCGGCGTATCGTCACCTGGCTTATCAACAAAACTACAATTCTCATAGTCAATAATTCATACATCTGTAGGAGCCACTTCTCAATTCACCTTCATCTGCTGCTCCGCCGAGCTGCTCTTATCACAGCGCAGCCAGTTTTTATGTGCCTCGCTGCTTGTTATCTCCCTCCTCAGTGGAAGATCGCAGGGATAAGAGGCAAACCAGATCTTGGGGCTGAAATTTTATGGAAACGAGTACTGCTGTGTGAATATGTATGCTGATGAGTCACATTTCATGCATACGGTTTGATATTCTGTCTATACAAGAGATTATGTTGGATGTGTGGCTCCTCTTTTTTTAATTAACAAGCAAATAAAAACCAAAAAACGTGGATTAATTGCGTACAGTCGTTCTGTAAAGCAAAAAAAAAATATCACACAGTTGGACTGATGTTGCTCAAATGTCATGAGAGAAAATATTTATCCTGTAAACCTGATAGAAGACCTCAACATTGTTATATAAATTAGATTTTCAGGATCTCAGCTGTTGATGTTCCAGCAAACCGGATTATGTAACAGCTTCCAGCTTTCTGGTCGTAAGCGCACAGAGAAGTGAGGACTTTGTGTTCGCCATCACACCTCAGTGAAACATCTTTCTCTCGACAGGTAACTTTGCCCGAAGCTCCTCGCCATTTTCCAGCACAAAAGTCAGTAATGTGCTGTGTCTTCCTGTTATTTTTGGCTCTGCTGTCACGGAGGGAAACACTGAAGAGCCGACAGCTGTGTGGCTGCAGCTGTGCGGGGGCACTATAGACGTATAAGGATCACATACGAACCAACGTGGAGCTGAGTTTTGTTTCTGGCATCTGTCACATGAAGGCTAATTAATCAGAATTGGTAATGAGATCCAAAGCTTGAATGTGACTCTAAAAGTCCCAGATGTACAAATGAGCTGTCCTTCAAACTGAATTATCTGAGATGTCTGTATTTCTTTCTGATTGACACATTTAGGCTCAAAACTTTGCTAAAAATTGGTGAATTCTCCTCATAATACTCAGATGTTCTGCAAAAAATAACATTGATGTGATTTTAATGATTCATTCCTGATGAAGACTTGCATTATTTTAACAGGAATATCAGCATGATTTTTGCAGCTGAAAATTAATAACCACATTTTGCATGGTGAGGAAAGAAGAGGACCAACAGGAACCTATTTATTTATTTTTCCATGTTTTGCGGGTCCAGCATTTCTCCAGCTCCTTTCTAAATTACTCGTCTGTTTCCTTTTTCCCTAAAGCACCAGCAGCAGATTTGTTTTCATCTCAAATTACACAAAATGGCTAAAACGTTACCAAATAAAACAAGAATCCAAACAACACAGTGCTGATGTTGGGTTTTTGTTTCTGTCCGTTGCAGACATGAGGACGTGTCGCATGAATGAGTTCAGCTGCGGAGCAGGAACCACCCAGTGTATTCCCATCTTCTGGAAGTGTGACGGAGAGAAGGACTGCGACAGCGGAGAGGACGAAGTCAACTGTGGTAGGTGGAAGTTGTATTGGTCCACGTTTGTCTGAGCGTTAATCACTTGAGTCACGTAACGGGACGTTGTTAACCTTTAGTTCCTGAACTCAAACACTGTGCTGGTTTTCATAGACATGTAGCACCAGAAGTGGATAGAAGAGGACTGAAATTAAACTTCAGGCAGCTTGTCTTTAATACTGATTGATCTGAAGACCAGGATGAACTTTGGTATAGAAGATCCAACTTTACTCTTTGTTACTATTAAGTCAAATGGAGTTTATTTCCAAGCAGTTGTCAGAGGACTTAGCAGTAGATAAATTATATTATATTGATCTTAACTGGACTTAGTGGGTTGAAAAGCATAATTTCCAAGTTTTCAGGCACAATTTGTAGAATTTGTCATAATCAAGCAGTAACTTTCATTTGTCCAGATCATAGGCTGAGCTCTGAATCACACGTTTTCCTGCGAGTACGTACTACAGTTAAAGTACGTACTGTGTCATGCAGCCTGCATACAACTGGGAAATACTACTTCATCACAATAATGCACCTTAAGCTTTGACCTTCGCACTCTGCAGTGCGAAATGTGCTTGTTTATACTCATGCAGCACAACTAAATGGAGGATTATGGGTCAGAATGGCCAGAAAATACGTGCTAGCTTGCATACGCTGAAATTCAACTGGTTGTAATAGGACATCAGGGTATTTTTGTGGTACTGTATTTGTTATGCTACATAATGAGGCATGCTAAAAGTTGTTCTTATGCTATAGAGTGTGGATATTGGACTGCAGCTACGGTGTTTGTTCACTTGAAATCACCGATGATGGTGTCTCAAGTGGACACAAGACACTTTCTGATCTAGACTTCACATAGATCGCCTAAAAGCATTGTTAAACAATTGACTTCCCTATTAGAACAATGGATTGTTGGATGCTGAGAGCTGCAGGAACTCCGCCCAGGACTCGATGAATGAATTTCAAATGAAAATCATTCTGAACTTTGCCTCCTTTACAACTGAAGCTGCGCTGTTTGCTTCCCTGCCTCATTACTACAGTGAGAGGGCAGACGGCTTTAGTGCAAATTAACCAGACTGTCGTGGCTCTTCGAGGTGCAGCGATACAATTCTTCAGAAGCGCTGCTCATTAAGTGCTGCTTATTAAGTATAACAGTTGATGTCCCGTATTTGCAAAAAGTACTGAGACTGTGTCAGGGATGCCTGTATCAATTACTTCCCATCCTCCAGCTGTTTATCCTAAACACTGTGCAACATAAACACACCAACAGCTCCTCCTGCAGAGCGTGAAGCTCTGCCGCGACCCACAAAGATAACCGAATCTGACAGAAGCAGCCCGTAGCGCGCTGGAAAATTTTAACGAGGGGAAGAAAGAAAACGTGGGATTCGAGGGGAATTTAAAACGATGTATGCGCTGGATGTTAAACCAGAGCAAATTGACTATGAGTTAAGGATTGATTATTGGCATTGGATTTCCTCGCTTGACATTTGTGCTGAGAGTGGAGGATGCTAATGAGCACGTCGGTAGTTTCATCTGAAACGCGTCGATGTTCAGCGAGCGCTGTGTTGTGCATCAGCGCTGATACCAGTAGTACACACAGTGGTGCTGCATCACGGTGTGTGTACTGTATTTTAAGACCGCAAATGTGTTTTTAATTGCATTCTTGGATACAACACACTGCATAAGTGGAATAAAGTGCAGACATTTACATGAAATAATTTGCTAAAAATGGGATTGTACATATTGATTGCAGGCTTTGGTTGCCACTTTGCAAGCTTCCCAGCTCCTTAAAGAGTTTCCAACTACAAGAAAATGCTATTTTTACTGCAATAAGTGTCACAGCAAATCATACCGTAGCAATTCTATGTACTTGCCTGTCTTTCCCGCATCAATGGATCTTTTGAGGCTAGAATTTCCTGAGCTGGCGGAGTGACCGCAACTCATTGTGGGATGCAGCACATCACGCGTATAGCTACTTGGGAATGTTATCTGGATAAGTTTGGCATACTGGATATGTGTTCAGAAGCCGTATGCCGTTTCAAGCAGACCCCGTGACTGCACCGTGTGTGCTCTTGTCTGCTTTCCCCCTAATAAAACACCAGCGTTTAGAGAAGCAGGAGTGGGCGGATGCAACCGGAGGAAGACAGAATGTGGCTGTAAGATTTTGATTTACATGCTCTGGTGGCAGCTTACTTTAAGGTCACTGCCTGAACACGTGCATCGCGCTACGCCGCAGTAAATCACGCTGGCACATAGATCAAGGACGACAAGGGTGCATATTTAATGCGAACAAACAATTAACAAATGTCTCCTTGTTTCTCTGCAGCTGATTTGGCTGATGAGCATCACGGCTTTTTCTGCTCATTGCGGGCCTTCGGGGGCGTTACAACGCATGACAGCAAACACGATCGGCCCATTTACAGTACAGGCAACGAGTCTGTTGCTTTATTTTAAGGAAATCTATTCACTTTGCTGTTATCTCTCACCATTTCTGACTAAACAGAAACATCTTGAGTAAATACAAATCTCAAAAAACTGAACAAGTTAAAGCATTGATTGGGTATTTTCATTCTCAGTTCTTGTGGTTTTTGGCGCAGGTGATTTTCCTTTGGCGCCGTTTGGTGAAGCCAGAAAATCCTCCGAGCAGGAAAGCCCCCTGTAGATACAATCAATACAAGATGAGAAAATCTGGAATCTCACGAAGAAGGAAATGCAATCAGCACATTTGTTAAACTTGAAGGATACACATAAATTATCCTGGCGAGAAAACTACCGAGGGCACAATTATCGTGCTGCTTTGCCCGCCTTCCCTCCTTTGGGACGACCGTCTACCACATTTCGGGGCATTAGTGAGGTTGTTCACAGATGCTGGGTGATGAAAATTAGGCTGCAGTCAGTGTTTTAGTTCATCCCAGTGGTGGTTAATGTGGTTGAGGTCACGGCTCAGTGAAAGACAGTTTAGCTTTTCCAAAGCAAACTGTTTCATTAAGAAGCTGGCTTTGTAGAAGAGTCTCCTCCAAAGTGGCACAAAATTGTCTGAAACGTCATCGTACAGGTCGCATTCAAGGATTCGTCTTCTAGGTTGAACCATGAAAACCAGCCACAGGCCATCATTCTTACTCTACCAAACTTTACAGTCGGCGGCCTGGATTCAGGCAGTGCTTTCTTGACTTCTTTGAACCGGATTCATTCATCAGATTTGCCAAATGTTGAACATGTTCACGGCTTCACAGTCCAACAGAAATATGCTTTACTCCAGCCAGAACTGGGCCAGGAGACAGTTTTGCTTGAACTTGACAGTAACTTGTCTTCTTGCAGCTTAAAAATCAAGTTGGTTGAATTGAGTAAATTCAAATTTTTGTACAGCATTAGAATTTTTAATACAGTCAAATAAAAAATAATCAAAGACTTTGTGTTTCTTTTTAAGTGACTGAGTGTTCACATTTTCTTCCTCGTCTTCCAGGAAACATCACCTGCGCCCCAAACGAGTTCACGTGCGCCAGCGGTCGTTGCATCTCCCGCAACTTTGTGTGCAACGGCGAGGACGACTGTGGCGACGGCTCGGACGAGGTCGAATGCGCTCCGTCCTCCTGCGGTCCCAGCGAGTTCCAGTGCGGGAACTCGTCGTGCATCCCGGCCAGCTGGGTGTGCGACGACGATGTCGACTGCCAGGTAAGAAGGAAGCGCTGCACGCTAACTTACCCGCATGAATGCATAATCAGACACTCTGGGAAGTGGATTACAAGTTGTGAGCATGAATGATTAAAAGGAAGCCGAGGAAGACTTTCTCATGGTGTCCATTTACCAACTTCCACAGTGAGTCGTCTCATTGACCGCCTTCTTAAGTCGCTAATGCATTTTCCTAGCGTGCTTGTCCTTGGTGTTCTGTCTTTCTAGTAATACATTTTCAGTTTGCTAAATTATTAACAGCAGTTATAATCGATTAATTGATGCTTACCAACAATCCCTACTCTTTAAACTAGACTACTTAAAGTGTTTTTACGTCAAAACCATGATTGCAGTTGAGGAAAACAAATGAAAATGGACAAACTCAAACTAATTTATTAGACGTAAGTAGTGAATTTCTCTGTATATCGAAACCACGACCAGATTTCTGCACCAGACTATAAATCATGTTTGCGGCGAGATGTTAGATATGTGCAAGACAATAAATGGCATCATAGAAAAAGGCTGGGTTGCCATGTCTGCGTGGTTTTATCACGTGCACGTGGGGTGTTCTGTTTTTGCCCTTTCAGACTGAGGACACACTTGACACGGGCAAAGTTTTTCTAAAGTTTCAGTTTAGGGTTGAAGCTCAGGCTCTTGCTCATGTTATGTTAAATTTCCTCAGCTTGAGTTTGAACTTGGGGCGAGTAGATTGGCAGGAGCAGCCACAGTAGGAGTTCCTGGCACAACATCAGTGTTCATAAAGAGCAATGATGACCCTTCTCTCTGTGACCTTTTCCTGTTTTAATCAACAAATTCATTAGACTTTACAATAAACTCTGGTGGTTGGAGTTGGAAGTAAACTCTGGTCAGCGTCTGCACCTCTTTGGTTTTACATCTTTATGTGAACTTTAAATATAATTCATTACATAGAAATAATGCAGTTTGCAATGAATGCTGTGATGTGAACCTTTAGCTGTGAAAGTCTTGTTGGACTTGATTCATGCATGTCGTCAATCGACTAAATCACCCTGAAAAAAAACACATGTTGGTCGATCCCTGCTTTAGTGTCGGTTTCCCTCTCGTCTGGATTTCCTACACTTTTAATCACAAAGGACTTTACAAAGGCACGCAGACACAAACACACTTGCTCTCATTTTCTAAGCAGGTTTATCCTCACTATAATAACCTGCCCTGTGTGACTTCCCCGCGCACGCACCGGTTCAGCAGGTTCAATTTTCCCAACAGCTCGTGGTTATTGACCTGCCTCGTACACACAATCGCACACCAGCTCTGGCACTCCTGACACGTTTTCACACGCGTTGGGACAAGTTTTACTGACTCAACAATTTCCCACGTAGCAGCTAATTGGCTCCGCGATCATCACCGGCTGCCCTAACGAACGCCCGCAAATATTTAAAACGCGACGCACATCGGGAAGGTCATTGTTATTCCCTTTGGTCTCGGCCTCTCACGCCCAGCCGGTCCTGCGTCAGTGTGGTGCAGCGGCGCACGTTCTCACACTCCGTTAATCTGCTCCCGCATGAGTCAGTGACTTTGTGAGCTGATGAAAGTGTGAGAAACCACTTCCTGCTGCTCCTCCTTGATCCCGTTCCGATCTGATCGGCCGGTTTTTAATTCTAATTAATGAGCTAATCGCCCGAGATCTGAGCGCTAAACACTCGCAGCTTTGTCGCGTCTGACCTGCACGTCCCACTGACCAGCCACCGGTTAATCAGGGATGTCTGTGTCCTTCGGGGGGTTGTTTGCATGATGGTGTCTGATATTGTGTTATGAAGTACTTCAACCACACGGCACATGATTGAAATTTTGAGCTTTAACACAAAGGGTGGTGCTTGGAAATCTGTAGCTTTTTAAATGGCACATGCACTTCATTCCTGTTGTATTCTTGCATGCATGCTGCTTTTGTAGCTTCTGCATTTCCTAGGAGGTGGTAGCAAACGCTTTGTGCCTTTTACAGCTATAATATGCAACAATATGAGAATTACCAGGTTTCCAAACCCCCTTTGAAAGGCACCTTTGGGGGGAAAAAATGCCTGTTTATATTCCTGCTGCGAGTTAGATTACAGGTAAATGGAAATAACGGGGAGGAAAAAGCCAGCCTGGCTCCGTCTAACGCTGCCAGAATCTGCACACCTGCACTTCTGAAGCTTGCTAGTTAGCACATTCGTTTAAATGGTGCCAAAACTGAACAGTAAAAACAATTTGTGGTTTTAACGGCGACTGTTGCTGGTTGTCTCGTGGCCTCGTAGTAATATCAGCACTCCAGGAAGTCAGTACAGCTGGCCAAGAAATGCGTATTTGTCCTGCAAAATAATATAACATACACTCAGATTTACTATCCCCATTGATGCTCCGTTCCTGTTTGTATGTGTGCAAGCATGCTGTATTTGTATGCTCGTTCTGTGAGTCTGATGCCAATGCAAGATCAAAACATGTCATTTCAAAACACACCGTTCTGTTCCATTGTAATTGGTCCTTAAAAGCCTTGTGACATTTCAGGCTTCCTTCCAGGAAACGGCTACAGAGTGCATGTGAATAATAAATGGAAAAGCTTTCACAAGCTGAGTGTTGGCCAAAACATGAGCGTACTGCAGTATCTCTTACTATTTTAAATTACACCTGTTTTCCCGTTTAAAGCAAAAAAATAAAAAAAAGAGAGACAACTGTAGGACCTCTTAATTTCAGGAATCTGTAAAAATGCCAATTTCTCTTTTCGCTGCAGGATCAGTCGGACGAGTCTCCGTCTCGATGCGGCCGCCACCCGACGCCGCCGGCCAAGTGTTCGTCCAGCGAGATGCAGTGCCGCTCCGGAGAGTGCATTCACAAGAAGTGGAGGTGTGACGGAGACCCGGACTGCAAGGACGGCAGCGACGAAGCCAACTGTCGTAAGTACACACCAGCTGCCATTCTCATGTTAGAAAAATGGACAAAACAATATTCATTTAAGCAGTCATCTGCTCAATTGTTAATACTTTAAATGTTTTATTAGTGCATCTGCAAACTTCTGTTTACAAGCAGTCTACGTGTTTTGTGTTGACACAGAATATTTAGTGTTTTTGCAGCTTTTATTTTGATATTGATTTGATAATTTAGTATAAATGGGCTAAAACATGAACAAATATCATCCTGTGGTAAAAGTATTGGAGCATAATTTAAGGAGTTTCATTTATTATGTTAACTTCAGCCAAAAAATAATAATTCATTTGCTTTTTTTTTTTGGCAGAAACAATAAAACAACTTAACCTGTGGTCCATTTTATACTCCATCACATCTATATTTTTAATTCAACATTATTTATTTGATATTCAGTCCTGTGTCTAGTGTTCTCCAAATGAATCCATATGAATAAAACGTTAATCATCACCACCTTTTCAATTAGGTTGGTCTTTTTACTAATCAGAGCTTTCCTGACAGACAACAATGTGTAAAAATGGCGATTCATCCATGCATAGGGCTGTTGTGATGGTCTAGTAAATGTTTTTTTAGTTTTTAACTTTGCAGCTCACTTAAAAACACTGAAAAATGTCATTGCAAGTATCCAGAACCCAACGATATTCCTAATAAAATCACATTCTATATATTCTTGCTTGATAAATGGCTTTTATTTGATCATTAGAGCTGCTGCTGATCAATTTCCAGTCTGTAAATTAACTGTGTAATCAATACCCTGTGCCAGCGCCGCTCACATGTGTAATCGTTGCCTTTGGCAGCTGTTCGCACCTGCGGGCCGGATCAGTTCAAGTGCGACGATGGAAACTGCATCCTGGGCAGCCGGCAGTGTAACGGCCTCAGAGACTGCGCCGACGGATCGGATGAAGCCAACTGCAAAAACAGTACGTGCCGAGGGTGTGTGTGTGTGTGTGTGATGTGCAGGGAGCTCAGTATTTGTATTTGGATCTCTATTTGAGGCGGCAAAGTTGTTTGTGTTGGATTAAAAGTGCAAATAGGCGTCACAGTACGAGGTAGTAGCTGCGCTGCCAGAGCCACCGCAGGCTAATCTCCTCCTCCCAGTCAAACAAACATTGAGGTTATAATATCAGCAAACCAGTTAAGGTTAGAAAACTTAATCAAAACAAAATATTGGGGTATTGGTGTACTATTTCCTTTCATATATTTGAATTTACCTGTGTCTGGGCTCTCTTTCTCCTTCACTCTTATTGTCCCATCAGCACAAACTAACTATTTAGAATGCTTTCATTTTCTTTACCGGTTTTGTTTACCTGTTAATTAAATAAAAGCTCTATTTGTGCTTTAGCAAATACCATATTCAGGTTCAGCTCCAGCCCCAGTGCACAGCTTCAAACACACACTTTTTTCTCTTAGATGTTTGTTTTTACACTTGACCTCAGGCTGTCCTGAGATGCAGAAACTGAGTTTGTAGATGTTTTTTGGCATCTTGACACATTTTCCAGATGTGTTTTTACAACAAGAAACCCTTTAATAGTCACCTCAGGTTGTGCTCAGGTACAAAAGCAGCGTTTGTTCGTTCACCGTGTGCGATGTGTTCAGGAATCTGAGGCTGTTGCTCGCTTTTGGGGTTTTCAATCCTTTTATTTTCTTTTTTGTACGTGCTCCTCTACAAGATGCATTTACCAAAAGAAAAACAAAGTCGCAACTGTCTCGTTTCCTCGAGTTTGTTTTTCCTCCTTTTCAGCATAAAATGTGGTTTCGGGAACAGATGTTTAGTGACCAATTTGGGCTGTGGTTCTGATTCTCTCAGCTGAAAAAGTAGACGTTTGGCTTGACTATTCAGCTGCTATATAAAACAGCCTATAAACCTCAGTGAAGCTGAAAATGTGTCAGTACAGGAGCTGGAGTTGTAAAATCGTCGCAGGTCTTGATATGAGGTTGCATCACACAGAAACTTTACGTGTTTTTCTCTCTAATCTGACCAACACACACTACAAGGTGTGAAAATAATGAAGCATCAAACCTTACAGAATATTATGATTAGAGGGAGCAGAGCGCCACCTGACATGGGGAAATGGATGTAAACGAAATGGAGCGACTGTCTGCCGTCTCACTTGCTGAAATTAATCTGAAAGAGAGCTTGTACTAATCTGTCAGGTTTTAAAAATATATAGTCATAGCAGGAAGTTTTGACAAAGGACAACGCACGCCTGGATCTTTACAAACACAGGAGAGCTGTAAGAAGTGATGTTACAGCACATAAGAAATGTATTAGACCACCACCCAGTGTGAGGTTTATGCCACAGCTGCCCGAAATTAACAGCATTGGGAATGTTGGTAACGGTTAATACACCAGTATGTAGAAGCTCAATTCAATTCAAATAACTTTATTTATCCTCTAGGGGCAACTCAAAGGCTCACTGAGTATTTAATATAAAGGCATTTTAAAAAATTATAATAATAATATAAAATAAACAGTAATCCATAAACCAAACTCCTTAGCCAAAGTGATATTTTTGATGCTAAAATAGAATTATTGTTATCAATGAATTTGCCAAAAAAAAACAAACAAACAAAAAACAATAAAGCGTATTATGTCGTGATTAAGATGTCAAGTTCTAGTTATTTACTCACATTCCTGGACAGAGAAGTTAGTTTTAATGATTGAATGTTGGTCCATTTGTGACTTCTCAGAGAAGCCCAGTGGCTCAAATTTGGCTATAAAAAGGTGAATTCAGTTTGAAATTCCTCATTCCTGTTCAAAATGGTAAAACGTGCAGAGCTGAGTGTGAATTAAAGCCCTCCATGATGCTGGATGGTCTATATATGTACACAGTGCTTAACGAGTCAGACAGGTGGTCTAATAAATTAAACATTAACATCGTTTTTCTGTTATTGCTTTCTCAGGGACGTACTTCTCTGTGTGACGTTCCCTGAGATGACTCGTGTTGTGAATCGTAGTTCCATTAATGACGTTAAATTAAAAAGTGACGGTGTGATGGTGCTTAACGTGTAAAATCTCTCGGCAGTGACTCAGTGCAACGGGCCGGAGAAGTTCAAGTGTCGCAGCGGGGAGTGCATCGAGATGAGCAAAGTGTGCAACAAGGCCCGAGACTGTCCGGACTGGAGCGACGAACCCATCAAGGAGTGCAGTGAGTACAAAGTCTAATTTATTACATATCTAAAACTGCAATCACTCGACTTTTTTGGTTGTTTTTTTGCCTAGTTTGTAAAAAAAAAATAGATCACGACTCCCCCAAATCTGAACTTCAGTTATTTTCAGCCTTTCTGCCTTTTTTTATTTTTCTGTAGATGTCATAGACTTATCTGTTGGTGTGAATGATTTATTAATCTGATGAAATGAATCCATCACAGCTTTTTTTTGCTGCTCGCTCACAGCAGGATAGAAAACTCATGTGCGCTGTGGTGTTTACTTAAAACCAAAAATAGCTGGAATGGGCGCTGGCATTTTTTTTTCGCTTGGGACATCAACTCAGCAGCGTACTCAGATTCTCCCAACTGAGCGCCAGAATACATGAGAGTTATGTGATGATTATGTTTGATTTTCATATATTTGTACTAGAATCTGTGCAAATTCGAACGAGCTTGTTGCTAAAGCTAAATATCAGCAACGTAAAACAGCCTGAATTCTAGTTGTAGTCTTAATGCTTTATACCAAACTAAAAAGAAGCCGAAGTACTTTTCCTGACAGCTCGCTAAGTCACTGCTCAGGAGATGATTTGCCGTTTCGATAACTTCAGACGTCTTTCCCTGTCTGCAGGACAGAGTTTAATTTAGGCAAATGGGGTGAATCTACATGACATCCCCTCTCTGCTACACCTTGATTTATGCTGATAATATCTGGATTTTTCTTTTCTTTTCTTTTTTTTAACATAATTCCCGCCCGGAGCATCTTCCGTGCGTCCTACGGTTCACTTCTAAATAATTCTCTTTCATGGATCAAAGAACTCAGCCTGAAAGTGATTATTCTGCTCTCCACAATCAGAATACTAAACTTCAGAGTGACTGCGCTTCAGACAGACAGACAGACACAAAGACACCGTGTGAATAATCCAGTTTCATTGATCTGCGAAAAAACAAACCTGACCGAGAACACGTTACTCTTTATGCGGGAAGTTGTGACGCTCAAATGGAATTATGATTCTGTGAAGGAGTCGTCAAAGCTATTGTGTGTGTGTGTATATTAAACTTCTGATTAGATTACTTGCCTGGAAATAATTCAGATTAGAGTCGCTCTCGCTGGCCAAACAAGAAGCCACAGTTTTGATTAAGTGACTCAGAAGTAATCACTAGAAGGCGAAATGTCACTTTAAATGTACATTTGTTACTCGCTATACTAAACACTGCAGCGAAGACAAATGAAAGAATAAAGGAGTCGTTGAGTTACTTGTGGTGCAGCAGGTTGTTTTTGTCCATTAGCGATTAGAACGGTTGGTTTAAAGTTTGTTCCTGCCTCGTCATGTTGCTTGAGTTGAGTCCCGATAAGAAAGTCCCGATAAAGTTAAGCTCCGTAGAAAGTCAAGTGGAAATGTCTCTGGCTTGTGACCAAGTTTTGACCTGAAAGCTTAAATATAACTGTGCAGCATAAATGTTTTACAGTTTCATTGTGTCTCTGATTTATCGTTGAAGCTGTTGGAGGTGACTCAATACAATGTGAGACGTGGCTGTTAAATAATGAGACGTGCTCGTGTCGAGTTCGTTTCTCCTCCTAGTTTACATTTTCAGGCCTAAAGACTGGCCGGCTGCAGGTGTGTACCCAAAAATCTAAAGTCACATTTACAGAAGCTGTAGTGAGGTGGCTTTATCTGCATGGACTGTTTTCTGTGTGCAGAGTTTCCTACAAGTGGAGCGTATTTTAAACCTCAACACTGCAGTCCATCATTTAATTGCCAGAAGCGTTGATCGTTGTTAGTATTTGTGTAATATTGCAGTCGTAACTCTGTGTCACTGAATCAGACCTGTCCTCCTTCACCGGCTTCCTCTTCTCTCTCACGTTTTGTTTTAAAAATAATCAGCTGCAGACGCTTCATCTTTGGAACGTGCGACAGCTAAATGGGTCGTTTCTCACTTTCAACCACAACGGCGGACGCAGTAGCTTTGCAGCACCGATGACGGTTTCTCCAAAACAGAATAAGGATGATCGTGCACTCGCACAAATACGACGCTGTTCAGTTTTGATTTTCACATTCCAAAGAAACGGCTGCAAAATCTGGAGCCCCGACTCATGTAGGAAATTGTAGAGACTCATTTCAATCATTGTCATTTTATAGAGCTTCATTTTTAGTTGTACGTTTGACAGTTTGAGCTTTAAACAAGCTGAATAAATGTACAAAGTCTGGTATTTATGGTGTTAACAATTCTGCATTTCTATTAGCATACTTGTTGACGCACATGCTTGCAAACAGATGCATGTTATAACACAGCGTTGTGCAGTCTTGCTGCATAATGCTGACTAAAATTGTGTTCACGAGTATATAGTTTTCAGCTCTTTTATTCGTCTTGTCTTCACTGCAGATGGCAGGGGACCTTGTGCTCCTCTTTTTATATTGTGTGTGGGCGGTTTGTTGTCGGTGTCACAGGGGGCGTAAACATGTTGTGCAGAAAGTCTCGGCTCTTCTGGTTGTTGCAGTCTGTTGCTTTTATGTTGATTTGTCCCGGGGACCTGCTTCAGTTATTTAAGTACCAAAAAAATCAGAGTTCACAGAGAGATTAGAGGTCGTTATTTCATCGGAGTTACTACAGTAAATGGTGGATTTTGTAAATTGTGCTTGCAGGGGCTGACTCCAGAGGGCAAAGGAGCTGGTGAGGTCAAAGATTGTAGGTTTCCTGCATGTTCAAGTGCAGGAGAAGAGGGTTTTTAAAACATCTTTTTACCCTCTATGTTCAGACCTCTTTAATTGAGAAGTTTAAACAGCTCGCTGATGTGTCGTTCAGGAGGTGGTGGAAGAGTTTTTAGGATACAGCAGTGTTCTTGCACAGCTAGCCATCAGCTAAATAATGTTGTTTGAAGGAATCGTGCAGTGTCTTCCCAGCAGAGGTTCGTATCATATTTTCAAGAGTGAAACGGTGTCCTTGGAAATAAAACGAGGAATTGTAAATAAAGTTGCTGCTGCTGTGTTTAAAAGTTGAAGGTCTGCACTCATAGGGCTCACAGGGAATAAATAAACTACTAAGCTCTCTTCTACCAGAGTTGCAGTACTTTATGTTCTCCATGTGCAGCAGGAAAAAGCATTTCTTTCTTCTTTACATGGATACCTTTTCAGATTAATGTTCCAACACTCCTTTATCGTCATTAGGTTTGTGTGATGACTGAAGGAATGAAAGAACTTGTTCCAGTGTCCAGAATGAGTTTCTTTTCACATTTTGTCTGGGAAACAGATGGAAGACATTCATTATTGCAAAACAATAACCTTGTAATTCATGGATTGTAGTCTGTTGTGGGAAACTATTGATCAAGACCATCCAGTTGCTCCTGTCCTTACATCTTTCTCATATATTTACTCTTCAGTCTAATGTTGGGCTCAGGATCTCCAGCAACTGCCAAATCAATATTTATCGTCTTCAGAATAAGACACGCACACACATTATCATTAGAAAATGCCACTTTTTTGCATCATGTCAGTCATAAAATCCGCATGTTGGATCGACTTGAATCCACAATGTTACTGTTGTGACGACACGATTATAATTTAAACTGAAAAGTTTCCCCGTTTCATGCGTTTCAGATCTGAACGAGTGTCTCCTCAACAACGGCGGCTGCTCCCACATCTGCAAGGACATGGTGATTGGCTTCGAGTGTGACTGCACCCCGGGACTCCAGCTCATAGACCACAAGACCTGCGGAGGTACGAGATCTTTACTGTAGACGGCTGCTCGGACTAAAAACGTCAAAATCAATCCTGTCAAAACAGCACACACCGTTTAGCATTTTGCATGAAATTGACTTATCGGCAAGCTCAGCACTGCTCGAAGGTTGTTTGGAATTCTGTTGGGACAATTTGTGATGTCAAAGTTTTTGATAGGAACTCCAAGGAACGCCCTTAAAGGATGCATTGTTTAAGAAATGGAGATCAAAAACACCTGGTCTGATTGTACCTGAGGATTCTTCTTTTCCTTAGCAACCACAGTCACATGCACATTTCTAACAAGAGTAATCCTGCACTGACACAAGGATTTCGAAAGTGCATTACAGGCTAAAAGCGACACAGCTGCAGACTGTGAGAACATGTAATTAATATGCTTATCAATTTAGCTTCTTTGCTGTCGGTTTCTTTTTTTAAAGAGGCCAGATTCAGTTAAACTACCATCACGAATCACAGGCTTTCATAGCTAAATGACAGATGTAATCCCTTTGTGCTACTCACACAAAAAAAAGACAAATTATGTAAAGAATGAATAAAGTAATAGGTATAATAGAACCACTTTGATGATGAGTTTAATAAACATCACATTCAGTCTCACTCTTACGGCGTGCGAGGCAATTTTAGCCTCATTCTTTCAGCTGCGACCTTGGCGATGTTAAACGGTTTTGGGAGCAATTAAAGCAAATATGACAAATTGGTAAATAGACAAGGAGGCGATAATGCTTTAGTATTTCTATCAGTGCCTTTTTAAAAATTATATCACTCTACAAAGACATAGAACAATAAAGTGGCTGGTGTTTTAATAACGCAGTGATTTGTTATCCGAAATGTATCCTACTCTGGGACATCTACAGTTGTGATGGACTCGGTTAAGATGTAAGCCACCGTTTTAGTCCTTAAAAACCCAGAGTTAAACCTGAAGTTGCCTTGATAACCTTCAATCCTGCTTCTGGCCCAAACACCCCCATTACACTACAAATAAATTGATCCGAAGCCGTGCATTAAACACTGTAACTGATTATTGACATTCGACTTACTGAACCAAGTTAAGGATTGACGTTATCGATACGAGACGTTGCCATAAAAGCCTCAGTGATTCTGTTTTTTCTTCCTTATTTGGGAGGAAAATACAGACGCAGCACCTTGTTGTTCACCGACACGCTTTTGTTTCGTGGCAACAATAAACTTTGATCGCTGGGAAAGTAGATCAGAGGGAACCGTCTGCCACAAACATCACGGCGCTGGAAATGAATCCTGTCAACGGCGTCCTTGGCAGGTTACTTCTCTGGATCGTTTGAAAGTAAAAACACAAAGACGGGAGAGACTCTTTGTTCCGCACGTTTTGCATTCGGGTTCAGTGAATATTTTCCAAAGATGCATTACTCCTCAAGTCTCTCGCTTAGAAATCGCTAATCCAAACGGGCGGGTCAGACACACAGTGGGCTGCTGTTGCGAGTTAAGCCAGTCTATGGTCTTATTGTGGGCTTCTGGCCTCCGAAGGGGTTGAGTGTTTGGCTGTGTTGTAATCTGTTTTCTTAAAAGCAGAAATCCTCTTGGTTACGTTCAGGAGGCACTGATCCGACACAGTTTTTGTTATGGAGCCAATCTTGGCCTCAAAACACCGCTCTGTATGTTGGTAAATGTGTGTAATCCCATCTGGAATGAGCCCCACCGGTTGCGCGGAGGCATTTCATCTACCCTCAGATGTGAAATCACCACTAAACTCTTGAAAACATTTTTGAATTTACATTTAATTCTGAGGAGGGCAACTTGTTGCCGCGGAGCGAGCTGGCAAAAACATCGGCAATTACAGGTTTTAATTTGCATTTTGTGTATCCCGAGCTCACGTCAGGATCCTGGGAATGTTTAAGGAAGATGATCTACTTCTAAAAGCAAGGTGTAATTTCGTTAAGAGAACATCTTGTGTGTTTTGCAGCTGTCTTTGTGTTTGTAGCAGAGCTGCGTGGAAACGTGTGATTACCCAAACCGAGGCTTTTTAACGGAGTCTATTAATTAAACATGTCAGACAGCAGCTGTCTTCTCTCGGCCCTCATCATCCTCCTTCCCCCCTCTGTGTTCGCAGACATAAACGAGTGTCTGAATCCTGGCATTTGCAGCCAGATCTGCATCAACCTGAAGGGAGGATACAAGTGCGAATGCCACAATGGCTACCAGATGGACCCGACCACCGGCGTCTGCAAGGCTGTCGGTGAGTCGACACTATGCGCAACCTTTGGGATGCACCTTTTTTTTATTTTCTATTTGTGTTTAGCTTTATGACTTAACATTTTGGAGCCTGTAGTGTTGTCCTGTTGCTTTTCATTGCATAATATCGATTTCTAATATTATGTCCGTGCTGTTTACTGGTGTTGGTGCACAAAAAAGGAAAGGGCTTTTTATAAAAATCGAACATTTTGATCTCCATGAAGGTTACAGGGCTGCTGTGTTAGATTGAGTCGTCTAAACCTAATAAAAACAAAATGTCAAATGAGTGCTTTCCAGTTATGAAACAAGATATGTCCAAGTAAATAAAGGTTGGTCGCAGAAGATTGTTTTCAGTGTGTTAAAGTCACAGTTCAGTTTATAGGAAGCGAAGTAAGAAGAATTGTTTCTTGAGGCTCTGGTTTAAGTATTTCTTCAGGAGTTTAGTCACACATGGAGGACATCAGTGGAGCAAAACGCGACTAACTTCCCCACAACAAACAGGAAAATACAGGAAAATAACATGTTAAATTGCTATTATTCAAAATTACACACATTAAATAATAACAATAACATTAAAAATCATGCGTTTTGCCCTTTAATCCACACACACATGCAGCTTTAGGTCACTGAAAATGGAACTTTTTGGAAAACTTCTTTCGTGGTTAAGATATTCTGTACCTGTGTAGATGAGTTTGTGCTGTTATCTCCTTAACATCAGCCAATTTGTGTACTTTCTAGGACACTTGGTGGACTTCTTGCATGTTTACACATAAATGTACACTCACGCTCCACTATATTCAATGTCAGAGTCTGTCAACGCACATGATTTCCTCAGTGGACCGTCGTTGGTATTCTGCTGGTATTTATTACAGCTTCTACTCTCCGACATGTGTTCAGGGTTGTATCGCTGCACAGTATTTTGGTACGCTATCGACATCACTTCAGTCGTGTTTTTGTGTTTTCATGTGGACATAGAATTTTTTGTTATTATTCTAAACTGTAAAACCTTAATGGAACTGAGCCGTCATCAGTGCCAAATCCAATGTCTGCCCTTAAAAAAAAAAAGGTATGTTGTGTGCTTTGAGTTAAGACCCTGACCTTGAAAGCCAACGATCCTGGTTTGTGATAATAAATCAGAGCAGTAGAAATACTTTTTTTTAGAGCTCATCTGACCTCAGACACTCTAAAGTCTCCCTGAACCCAGAAATGATTCGTTCAAATGTTTCGAAAAGTAAAACGAACTACATCGGTGAGTACAGCCTTTTAGAAATAAATGAAAACTCTGGGATATAATCAGAAAGGCTCTGGGGTTGTAGTTCAGCTGGCGACGGTTCCGTCATCCTTCATCACATGCTGCTTGTTTCCGCTGGAAAAAGACTTCATTGTGTTGCTTGTTGACAAAGACAGTGTTTGTATTCTTAATCCTGACAGTGCTTTGTTTATTGTCAGCAGATAATTCAAAATAAACAATGCAAAATTGAACCTCGACATTTAAAAATCAGAATTTGTTCTGGTTGTACGCTGCCAGCAAATAGTTATTTTCTAATTGAGTTTGTGATATGAGAGATTAGGAAGGAAACGGCATTTTAAAAGCGTGTTTTTAACGTTTAATAAGAGGATTAAATTAAAAATGTCCATTAAGTCTAATAAGTATGAAAGCCTGCAGCAGCAGAAAATGAAACGGTGCGACCACAGGCAGCTGATTTAAAGAAATGAGATTGACCTTCAGTCCTTCTCTCTGATTTCACTAAATACTTCTTGTCCTCAGGTAAGGAGCCCTGCCTGATCTTCACCAACCGCCGCGATATCCGCCGGCTGGGTCTGGAGAGGAAGGAGTACACTCAACTCGTGGAGCAGCAGAGGAACACCGTGGCTCTGGACGCCGACTTCAACCAGCAGATGATTTTCTGGGCCGACCTGGGCCAGAAGGCCATATACAGGCAGGTCGCACAGAACAAAACGTGTCGGATTGGACTGGAGAGTTTAAAACCGATGTTAAAGCCAAGCCAGTAGGGGGTGGGACAACAGAACACAATGTTCTCGTATATATCAGTTCTAATTTTATATTCATGAACATGAATCTTTGGCAGAAGTGAAGCATTTCTTTGGAATTTTTAGAAACCAGGTTGTGAACTGCAAAATTGATGTTACACTTAAATTATGTTTTACTTGGTCCACATGCATTTTTTTGTGGTTGTCAAGGTTATACAGTGATAGAGGCAGCAGCAGCAACTTTTCAGAAACATCCTTTTAATAAATTGGCAGCACTTTTAATGGACCTTGGTTCTCTGGAGACAAATCCTCTTTTGCCGTCAAAAACAACAGCTGTAACGTCTCAGGAAGCCCTTAAGACTCCTGGCGTCCAACACAAATACCAGCAGCAGATACTTCATCTATTGGATTGGACTGCCAAAACTATTAATAATCATAGATGGAGGGTTCTAGCTGGTGGAAAGAACCTGAGGGGGAGGACAATGTAGACAGACGTGACTTTTGCCAATATTTTAAAAATTTATGTGCACAGTCAGAAATCCAGTTGCTGTTCTCTGCAGAGACGACGAACTCTAAAATCTTTTTTCATTAGACGAAAGATCTTAATGTCTCTGACTATGTTTTTGAGTCCAAGTTTCCGCCACAGTAACATTTATATTTACGAGCATAAACAGTAAAACTTGCCCTTTTGTGATGGTCTTTGTTCCGTTTTGCTTCTCAGCACTGTGCTGGACAAACGTGGGGACGTCGGCTCGCACAAGAAGGTGATCGACAACGTCCAGATCCCGGTGGGGATCGCCGTGGACTGGATTTACAAGAACCTGTACTGGTCCGACCTCAGCACCAAAACCATTTCCGTCGCCAACTTCAACGGAACCAAGCAGAAAGTTCTGTTCAACCGCGGCCTCAAGGAACCGGCCTCCATCGCCGTGGATCCACTGTCCGGGTGGGTGGAACGCTCGTGTTGGGATGCCACTTACGACTCCTATCATCTGCGTTCATTCGCTGATTTGTGTGTGTTTTTCGTTGGTTCTGTCAGGTTTCTGTACTGGTCTGATTGGGGCGAGCCGGCCAAGATTGAGAAATCGGGTATGAACGGAGTGGACCGACAGGTTCTGGTGGCAACGGACATCCAGTGGCCAAACGGGATCACGTTAGGTAGGAACAAACACCAAAGAACCAACATGTCCTCTGCAGTACGTCTACACCATTTCTTTAAGTCTATAAATGTTCAAACCAAGACCTTTTAATCACTTGGACAAAATCTGACACTTCATTCTCTGTTCACTCCTTCTTTAGCTTCCACTTCAACTTCTTTCAGTGCTTATAGTTAGTTTGACAGTCATCCTTCCACTTTTTTTTTTCAATCACTCTTCCTTCATTTGATAATTCAACTCCTTTAAGTAGTGAAATCTCTTCTTGCACACACGTGTTGTTTAATTCTTGCAAATCAGCAGCCACTTCAATTTCTTTCAGTGTTCACACTTGCTGTTTGCAATCAAACTTAAATTTTTTTTTGTAAATCACTGTTCTTTAATTTGATAATTCAGCTCCTTCCAGTTGTTGACTCTCCTCTTCCATGCAAGTTTTGTTCAGGTCTTGCAAGTCAGCAGCCACTTCAACTTCTTTCAGTGATCATACTTATTGTTTTCAGTCAAAATTGAATTTTTAGAAATAACTTTTCAGCTCCTTTCAGTGTTTAAATCTCATCCTGCAGTCAAATTTTGTTCACTTCTTGCAATTCAACATACACTTCAACTTCTTTCAGTGCTTATAGTTTGACAGTCATCCTTCCACTTTTTAAAAAAAAAAAATCACTTTTCCTTCATTTACTAATTCAACTCCTTCAAGTTGTGAAATCTCTTCTTGCATGAGTTTTGTTTGATTCTTGCCAGTCGGCAGCCACTTCAACTACTTTCAGGGTTCATATTTAGTTTTTACAATCAAAATTAGGTTTTTTTGTAATCACTTTTCAGCTTCTTTCAGTGTTTAAATCTCATCCTGCGCTCAAGTTTTGTTCACTTCTTGCAATCTATCAGCCACTTCAACTTCTTTTAGTGTTCATACTTGCAGCACTGAACTCAATTTTAGCTCTTACTCCTTAGCCGACAGTTTTTGGTGTTTCAGCTTTTTTGTGCTCCTGCTGTTCAAATACTAAACATGTTAGAAGCTGCAAAAGTTGAATTTTAGACATTTAAGCAGTTTGAAATATCTACAATCTTTTAGCAAAAATGAGGAATGAGGACATTTTGAATCTTGAAATAGGATTTTGGTGTGTATGCACATTTATTATCGACGACTCCTGACTGGAAGCTGCCCAGATCACATAATCAAATGTCCTCCTTGTTCTCTCTCTCTTTGTCTTTGTGGTTGCGTCACCAGCAATGTGAAAAAGCCATCGACTTGCCCTTGTTAATGAAATGTCGTATTGATTTCATTCTCTTTTCTCCCCTCTCATCTTCTCCCTCCTGTCTTTTTCTACCGTCCGCCTCCTCTCCTTTTTTTCAATTATTCTCCTCTCTTCTGTTTTATTCCTCACCTCCTCTCACCTTGTCCTGACCTCTTTCTCCGTTCGCCGCTGCTTCCCTTCCAGATCTGATCAAAGGCAGGTTGTACTGGGTCGACTCGAAGCTGCACATGCTCTGTAGCGTCGACCTGAATGGGGACAACAGGAAGAAAGTGCTCCAGTCTCCAGACTATCTGGCTCATCCCTTCGCGCTCACTGTTTTTGAGGTACTGTGCACTGAATCTGTTATAGTGTGGGTCGGTTGGTGTTGACGTGGAGCGAAAATCATAGTGTTTGCAGTATCGTGGCTGTCAGCATCACATATGTGAGAATAATGTACAAAACTATTTAAAATGGTGCCTTGACCCAACACAGTCACACTCTGTAGCCACTGTGGAGGTTCATCTTGACAGTTTGGACTTAGGAGACGTTAGATTTGACTTATTTCATGTAAATAGCAGCTTTTGGTGCATTGACATGGTCACATCACTTTCAAATGTGTAGTCCTCATTGCTTTTGTCTCTCCAAATTTTGCGTCTTTCTTCTGTTTCTTTGACTTTTCTGCAGAGAATTGAACAAGAAAACGTTTTTATTAGTTTCATTTCTTCGTTAGTGCAGTCATATTTTTAAGGGGTTGTCCAGGAAGTGCAACTCTTACAGTAGTCTAATCGTGTTATTCATTGTGTCCTCTGTATTTAATCGGTCAGTATTTGCTCTTTTCTGCCTGTTGATACCGATTAAATATGCAAGGGTAAAAAGTTGCGTGATTCAGTCTCGATGAGACGCATGATGCAGTTGTACACGTTTATTTTCTGGTTCGAAAATGGATGAAAAGTAATTAGAGATGCAATAAGTTCTGCAAGCAAAACGCCCAGAAGCTTGAGCTTAGCAAATAATTCTGGTTTCCATCAACCTGGTGTATTTTTTGTATTAATATGACTACTTTGCATTGATGGCTCATGCTAACTTTGCACTATCATTTTAAAAGTTTGTTGTTGGGTCAGAGTGCAGCCATTTTACATTCAGGGATCTCCATCAGGGAAAACTTGCCTGCTGACCAAATTACCTGCAAAGTCATCTGTGCACGCCATTTTGTTTACTTATTTATGTGAATTTACGGCATCGATAAACATTGTTTCCTCAAAATCAACTGGAAAAAAATACCAGCAGTGGTTGGACTGATTGCTCACTTTAAAACCTTAACAGTAAAGGAGAAGCTGTTCACGATTTCACACGTGGAGAAAAACTGGCATATGTAGATGAATATTCCAGTTGACTTACTGCACAGTGATAAGGTCAACCAGCAAGTTGTCCCAGATGGAGATCCCTCTGCCGCCTTGTTCTTTCTCCTCCTTCACCCTCACCCCAACTGGTCGAGGCAGATGGCTGCCCTCCCTGAGCCTGGTTCTGCCGGAGGTTTGTTCCCAGGAGTTTTTTTTTTTATTCCCCTTTGTCGCGAAAGAAATCATCTGGATTTGTTTGGTTTCTCTCCGTAGTATTGCAACGTCTTGTGAAGAACAATAAGCTTACTTATGCCCAGAATTGGTGCTTTATAAATAAAACTAAATGCAGTTTGCAAATTGCCCATTTCAGGTGCCTGATTTATTTATTTTTTTTGCAAGCACTTTAAAATTGAAGGACCTTTTTAGGGAGCTCGCGCTAGTTGCCCTGATATACGCTGTTTTGCATGACCTCTTATTTTTCTGTCTCTACAACAGAGGCAGAAGGTGCAAAATTAGCACGACCCATAGAAACAACAATCGCTGCACTAATGGGAAGTATGCCAGGTTGACATAAACCAGAGTAATCCTCTTAAATCTGCACTGTTCTGTTGAGTGGACTCGATGGATCTCATCTTTGTATCTCAACCACAGTGCGTGTGGACAGGGCAAACATTAAGCACCAACATTGCAATCTGCTGTTTCAAAAGCTGGATTCAAATATGTGCAGTCTTTTGGAATCGCAGAATCAAGGACATGTGGCGCTCCCGCTGTCTCTTTCACCTACACCCACTCGCACAACTGCCGACGTGCAGACGGATGACGCACTTATTCACAAGCACACACTGTTCGAGGCGCAGGTCGTGTCTGAACTGTAGTATTTTCATTCAGACAAAATGTCGCCGCCGCTGTCACCACTTAGAGCGCGGCGGCACCTTCGTGTGAAAAACCCCTCACGTGTAAACACACGAAGAACGAGGTTAACATGAGCAGAGAAAGCCACTTCCATCATGTGATTTTTGACAGGTGGTGTCTGCAGAGAGCAGGAACACCACGCAGATGGTGTTAACGCGCAGATGGCTGAATTTGTGATTTAAAATCTGTCCGTCCATGAATTTGTATGGTCGTTTTTTTGTACGCTACAGTTTCTTGACACGTTTTGTTAAACATTTGGTCCTGACGATCTGAATTAAGAAGAAATAGAATATAAGCTCATATTGGTGCAACTCTTTACTTGATTTAGGTTGAAGTTTGGTCTCATTTGAAGAAATAACTTTGAGTACATGAAGACAAACTTTGCATGCAATTAGCTATTTTCTAAAATGTATAAATAATATTGCAACTGAAATTCTAGTTTAACAGACTGTTGAGTTAAAACTGCTTTTTTCCTGCTGTTTTATGGTCAAATCTACTTTAAAGATTCATTTTAAGGCAAAAAAGGTGTAATAATGGATAATTGTTTTGTGCTTTCCCATAGTTTGTTGTAGCCTTTGTTAAACGTGATCATGCAGATGTGAAAATGATGTCCACTGGTGTGTGTTGTGGTGGCACAGCTTCAGCATTTAGCTCATTAAAGCTTTAAGCTGTATTTTTCTCTCATTTAATCAGGATCGAGTCTTCTGGACAGACGGCGAAAATGAAGCCATCTACGGTGCCAACAAGTTCACCGGATCAGATGTGGTGACGCTGGCCAGCAACCTGAACGACCCGCAGGACATCATAGTTTACCATGAGCTCATTCAGCTGTCAGGTACAAAAAGAAAAAATTTAATACTGGGAGGAAACAGATAGCTAATTGTGTTCAGCTGAAAAATCTCCTGTGACATTATAGCATCTGCCAGATCAGGGCTGATGTTGAAGTCTTTTTCTTTCCAAAGTTAAATCAGAAATTACTTTAATTACACATGATAACGATGCAGAAACTCTTAATGATAATTATCATGTAGCTGTAATCATGCCACCGTAATTGACACGCGCCTTCTAGCTTCTGACGTCATGTCGTTGAGCTTTAGAAAACCAGGAACCAACGTGCTAGCTTCTCTCTTAGATACAGTCTCAGTGTGGTCCTGGCTTAAAAGTTAAATATGCAATCCAGTGTGTGAGAAAGGAAACAATCCTCCAAAGTGCTGAGAGGAAATGGGAAGCTCTGTGATATCAACTGAGCAAACTCCACCTGTTGATGAAGATATAGCTGTAAACATCTTGAGCAAGCTAGAAAATTGAGTACTGATTGTTGTTTTTTTGTTGTTGTTGTTTTAAAGATGTATTGTTAATATTACTGTCGTCATTTTTATTAAATAGTGCTGAAATACACGTTAGTCTTGATCAGATCACACATGCTAAAGTTCTGCAACTTGATCAGACTGAGCAGGTCAGATTTCAAACTTATGTTGTTTTGTTGACCAACACACTTATACCATATATAAATCTATATATGTCACAGAGCAGAGTGTTTATGCAGGTTAATGTCTATGTAAGGGTTGTCATTTTATTTAGTTTTAATGGGGAGGAAAGCTGCTTACCGGAGCTTTAATCTGCAGACTGCCTGTATGCGAGGAGAAACTAACCTGCTGACTCTTGTGTGCAGGCACTAACTGGTGCACGGAGAAAGGTGAAAACGGAGGCTGCAGCTACATGTGTCTGCCTGCACCGCAAATCAACAAACACTCCCCCAAATACACCTGTGTGTGTCCCGAGGGTCAGGAGCTGGCTGCTGATGGCCAACGCTGCAGACCTGGTGAGTTCCACTTCAGTTATTGGCCCTCCTTTGATTCAAGTTTACACCTGAGCCTTGAGCACATTGCACCAAACTTGCAAGCTTTTCAATAACCAAAACAAATGCCCAAGCGTTGGATATATTCTAATGTATCTGAAGTTTGCTACCAATCATCGTGAAGCATGATGGTTGCAAAGATGTTGCACAGATAGTTTGATCGTTTGAAACCCTTCGTGTCAACTTCAGGCTGCACAGGTGATCATTTTAACATCAAAATAATGATTCATACAGAGAGAGGGAGGATCTCGTGATGTTTCTGGGGCATTTTGCTGCGAGATCTGTGGCATCAAACCAAGCACTCCCTGATTTCTCACCAAACTGCTCCTCCAGATGGCAAGACTGCATTGCAGCGCGTGATAAAATATGCAAACACACTATCAACAGAGTGTAAAACAAATCTAACATGTTGTGAGGAAGTTGTACCATGGTAGGAGAACACGGTGAGATGAAGTTTCAGGAGGTTTGCGTGTACAAATACATTTACCTGACTGCTGATGATTCATAAAGAACTGTGAGAAAGTTGGACAACTGCAGTACTCATTTAATCCAAAATTATGGGACTAATATGTGAAGTTTGATTGAACTACACGCATCAAAACATTGTTATTCTGCTTACAAACAACCTCAGTGTTTTCTGTGGTTCTCTCCAATCCTGTATGTTTGGCAATTTTTGTTTTTTTTAGCTAAAATATAAATAATTCATGAAGTATAGTATGGCAGAATAGGTATTAGCAATGCTGGAAACCTTCCAGTGAGGGGAAGGTTGTTTTGAAGTGAAACCAATGGGTATCCTGGGGTAAACGCTGCCAATAATCCAGCTGACTGATGTAATTGTATTCTCGGTAGAGCGCAAACCACGGCGGTGCTGAAAATGGAGCCAGATAAACCACAAAACGAATGTATCCCCCGTGGCTGCTCATTGTGTTGATGTGCGTAACTGTACACACAAAATGCATCCGTTTGAAGGCGATCCTGTGCCTTCCTTTCCAGAAAGACCTGGTTTAAAAGAACAGGCAAAAGGGTGTTGGGCTTTCACAGGTGATCGACAACAAACACTACATCAGTCGTAAAAAAAAAACCCAAAATGAATTCAGTGTAATTTTTGAGGTTGTACTGCCTTTGATGTGAAAAGATGAGTTTAGTCACTCTCCCTTCTTCTTCTGCTGCTGCTTTATATACATGTTTCCTCGGTGTTTCTGCGATTCCTCCGAGTCTTGTCTTCCATCTGTATCCATGCCAGCCACAAACCCAGCTGTCTGTTCGCGTTTCGTGGTCTGACAGCTGAACAGTGGCTGCGTCAGGCGGCGTTGTGATCCAGTTTTCAACCTCGTCCTTCTTCACATCTCTGCTGCGGCGCCGTCGCCTTCCCGCCTTTTGAAAGTCTCATTCTGACAGCTCAATTGTGTCAGTTCTCCGAGGTCGATCCCTCTCCCAGTCATCATCGGTGGCTGCCGAGCGCTGTCCTCTGCTTCATTTGTGCCTGTTGTTGGGTTAAGTCCTGATCTGTGCTGCCTTCAATTCTCCAGACTCCGAGTGGATTGTGACTGTGTTGAGGCTCTGACAGCTGAATGGGCACAACACCCATATGTGATTGTTAAATGTGTCACTTCAGAACTGCTGGCATGACTCTGCTGCCAGCCTCCACTTTTGTTAGAAGACTTGCTGTGGGATTTTGGAACTTGATGGCAGGAATTTGTTCCGAGTCACCCTCAGCGTTAAAGGTTTTTCTGAAGGTGCTGAGGTCTGACCATCAGCACAAAGGTCAAATACAAATGACCAAACTATAAAAAGAGCCCCAGACATAGGACAGAGGCGTCCAAAGTGAGCACATCTTTGGCATCCAAAATGTATATTTTTAAGTTTATGCTGATTAAGTGGATGACATTTAGGCACAACTAATCAATGAGTGTGTTCAGTGTAGTTTTTTTTTTTTTAGTGATTGTATGAGTGCGATGTTTCTGTGCTGGACCTTCATCAGGCAGATGGTTTGGGGAGTTGCAGTGACTGAACATGGTTTGGTACAAAATACCAAAACATTCTACCAAATAGCTATTTTTGGTAGCATACAGACAATATAAATCACAAATATACCAAAAGCTATTCACGTAGTATGGGTAAAATCCTCGGATATGGGGGCTTAAAACCTGCTGCATTCTCAAAAAGAGCGAGACTAACGGGTTGCATATGTAAATTAACCTGCAATTACAATAAAAGTACAGACAGTTCCATTTGGTAGCACCACATATAGCAAAGCGGAAAGGTAAACATTGGTCGTTTAACATTACAGTAATACATTTCCTTAAGACTTCACCAAGTCCAGTATTTCTTTAAAAATGCAGCAGGCTTTAGGGTTCATATTCAAGGATTTTACCCATGCTGTGTGAATCACTTTGTTTATAATTCTTATTTTTTATATGCTGTTTAAAATAGTCATTCTGTGAGTGGTTTTAAGCCACTACCTGTTAAAGATGGCTTTGTATTTGTATCTGCCCGATTAAGATCTGAAATGTCGTGCTAATGATGTATTTTTGCAAGTTGGAGAGTATGTGGGAGGAGCTTTTGGATATTGCCCAATGAAATAGATGTGTGAAGAGTTTCTTTGCTTTAATCAGTGATTTTATGGGACCATGATCACTTGATGATATTGTTTAGTTAACCCTTGTGTAGTGATGATTTGATGATTTATTGTTTTCCATAACCTGACCTATTAGGAGCAATAGACGAGGACCAACAACAGATCCTTGAGGAACTCCACACATCGTATTTGTTCTCTTAACTCACCAGGAAATCCAGTTCTTCAATTATTTTTTTCCACTTTCTCTCTCTTTTTTTTTTTTTCTTTTTAAATCTTTTGTCTCTGGACTTTGACAAAACAGAGTCAAAACAGAATTGGTACAAGTATAAATAATGTGAATTAGGTTTAAACACTTAGTTTGTACTAGTTTGCATCCAGCTTTTCACTGACATGGTGTGATAATGGTTTCTTGTAAGATTCACTACTTCTAAAATGTATGTAGCCCTTGATACTGCAATCAGGGCAGAATCTGAGTCCTTACTTAAGATGTGAGATTCATTATGACTGAAATGCTGCTTTTCCTTAAATGAAAATCAAACTCTGGCTGTGCCCTCTGTATGCCTCCTTTTTCTTGGCTGCGAAAAGGTTGCTTGGAAACGCCGCACTATTCCCTTACAGTTGTTTTTGTCTTGAGCAGTCCGGCTTGTTTCTGTGCTCCCACAGATTAGCCTTTTCATACTGAAGCAGTGTCAGATAGGAACCTGACAGCTAAATTCAGTGCACATACTCTCCTAATTGGGCTCAAGCTGTAGACCGAGACGCTGGTGTACACAAAGTACTGGAACATCTCCCTGACAACTCTCTGCACTGCCGTCCTCCTGAGTGAAAGTCTGCCTAGTTAGCCTGTTGAGGCTTCTTTAAGGCTCTTCTCTACTTTCTCCCTTCTTTTAAAGCGAGCGCCGAGAGTCTTGACAGTTTCTGCAGCCTGTCCTTTCCAGTAATAGCTTCTGTAGGATCTCTGAACTGCTGCTCCGCTTTCATTTTCTTCAAAAGTTGCCGTTTCATTTCGCACATCAGTGGAATTTGTCGACTTATTTGGTATCTCTTTGGTAGAAGTTACGGCTAGCTTCATGCACAGCGCATGGAGGCACTGGCCTAAAGGTTAGTCAAGTACAGATGTTAAAAATATGTTTTTGTCCCCTTTCATCGATACCAGTGTCGTGCCCTTTAGCAGTGCCCTTAACCCCAACTGTTCTGGTGTTGGTGACCAGCAGATTGGACTGCACTGAAAAGAGCGATTACCTTTCAGCCAAGAAAAAGTATTGGAAGATGTCTTTTTTTGTTTATTGCATCTGGTAGTGTTAGTATGTTCTTTCTTTTTGACTGTAATCAAGTTTTTTTCAGCATTTATTTGCACCCTATATTAAAAGTATCATCAGTACCAACTAGTTCTGTTTTAGAGGCTTACCACAAACCTTGAATGCAACGTTTTTCTTATTTTTAATTTTTTTAAGCATCTTGTCATGTTGAAGTTGTAGCTAGAAAGTTTTTTGTTGTTGTTGTTGTTTTTGTTTGAGTTTTTTTTTATTTTTTTTACAAATACCTTGAAGGCAAGTCTTGCCTTTTGGCAGCCTTCAAGGTAACAGCCCCAGGCAGGTACTTCAGGCCAATAAGACCAGATCCCAATCTGAAATGAACGGGTAGAGAGCCATAACTGTAATTTTAATGCTCGCTGGAACATAAAAAGCTGTATAGAATCATCGGCCAAATGTGATTTAAGAACCCCTTTTATTTTTCCTCGCAGGTTGTGTTTGTGCTAACCATGCGGACACTTTTATGACACTATGCCTCAGTCAGGACTGGATGTTGTTTAGCTCTTATGAAGCAGGCTTTCTGGACGGGGCAAAGTGGGATATGTGTAACATAACTGCCATCTTTGGTGTTAAACACTACAAATCAGGATTCTTGAAGTGCAGGCGGCATGTTGGTCGCCTCACGGAAAGAAGGTTCTGGGTTTTAAACCTGCCTTGGATCTTTGTGTGGAGAGTTTCTCAGTGCATACACGGGTTTTCTCTTCAGCTGTAACAGTGTAGTACAATTTGACATGAGCTCATTGTAGCTTGAAGTCGGTATAACTGTTCTGAAATTGAAAAAAAGTAATGCATGTTGACACCTTTAGTCTACAGCTGCAGTGACTTCACTAGAAGAAGACGTGTATATATAGAGAGAGAGTGTGTGGAAGGAGCAGATGATAGGAAGAGATGAACTCTGCACCAGTAAAACTGTGACAGCTCTGCAGCACATTTTACAGCCTGCCTGCTCCACAGAAATGTAATGGCCTTCATGCAGTGAATGGCCCTGCAGCCTGACTCACCTCCTCACAGCCTGTTTGGGAATCTGGACCTGCCTCCGGGCTCTTTAACAGCCACACTGATGGCTGAATGTGCCACCCAGACAGCCGAGATGTGTGTGAGAGAGTGTGTGTGTGTGCGGTGTTTTTCCTTTTTCTGTGCACACTTTCATGCAAGCTTGTGAGCGTCTTTATCCCCGTGGCATGTGCGAGAGTGTGCGCTTTCAGTCCCGAGCATGGGAATCCATACAAAACTCGTATTTATCCAAGTGGCTGGAGCGCGTGCACGTCTGAGAGTGTGAGCTTCTGTGCACGCTCGGTTGTCTTCTTGTGTGTGTGTGTTTCTACAACTGTGTTTACACGCCTGCCTGTGTTTTTAGTACTGTTAAAGAAGTGAGAATAGTGTGGGTGGGTTTATATAAAAAAAAAAAAAGAGGGATGCCTGTCACTCGCTGAATGCTCCTCCACTTTCCTCCTCGTTGGGCTTTTGCCAAAGGCCTCGTCGCTCTTTACTAAACCACCAGCTAACATATTTATCCCATTTTACAGCCGTCGCAGCTGGACCGAATAGGAACTGTGGAGCATTGTGCGGTTGCAGCTTTGACCGGCTCTAATCTTGTTAGCGAGAGAAAGTAATAAGCAGTGCTCCTCACTTCAGGGTTGGACCGTAAACTACCGCAGAGGGACTCGTGGAGCCGCCTTTAGAGGCGACTGGGGAGTGTTTTTCCTGCAGGCTGAACAATCTCGGGCTGAAATACAGGATGTTTCTGGGATTGTCTGACTCTGCTGGGGCCCTGCTTGGTTCCAGTTTGTTTCCGAAGGTATCATTCATCAGTCCGGTTCAGATTGAGGGTTTGCCAGCATTGTATCACAATTTAAGTCTGAGTTAGGGATGCTAATGAGGTTCAAATCCTTACTGGATTTATTTAGAGTTACCTCTCTGCAGTCTTGAAGGTATGATCTGGAGTTTTAATGGTAAACACCTTTGAGCCTTCCTGGTTTCCTGCAAGAATTTATGTACCTTCCTCTTTTCTTTGTTGTTTCATTGGCGTGAAATGTACAAATTCAGATGCACACATGTGGAAAGTTTCTCTTCAAAAGACACTCACAAGAAGTCCATGTGAGGAGTGAAAGAGCAGAGCGGCACACACCTGGCCGATCGATGATCGATCGATTCGTGGGCGCGACTGAGAGATTGCCGGGTCCAGACAGCCCAATAATAATCTGCTCTTGTGAAGGTGGTTTCAGACACTTTGAGCACAATAGAATAAATGTAGTTAATTCCTAAGGTGACATTTGGAAGCGGTTTCAAATGTCTGTAAAGCCTTTTTTAGATTTGTGAATGACTCCCATCGGGAATACTGCGGCTTAATTAGGTCACTGTTCCTCTCCTGTACTCTGCAACACACACCTTTCGCTTAACCGATTAAAATGTAGGTTATTTTTTACTGTTTGTCGAGTATGAAATGTCTGAACACCACAGTTTTCTAAAACCCAGAACGACATGTTCAGTTAAAGAGGCCATATTTATGCAAAATCTAGTGTCTCGTTGTCTTTGGATGTAATTACATGCCCCCGCTGTGAATATGAGAAACAACCGAACTCTGCTTTCTCTTCTCAATCTAACAGAGTACATGTAGATACAGACAGAGGTAGACCTTTGACCCTCTTTCTGAAAGGAATGGAAGGATTTCAAGCTGCAGAGGTCCAAACAGCACTAAAACCAGCGTGTACGATTAATCATCTGTGTTTTCAGCTGAAGCTTGACACAATCTGAGGACAAGTGAACTTTACGTTAACTTGTTAAGATGGACTTTGATGTGGGACCTTTTTAAAGGGAAACTCCATCAATAAACACATCAAACTGTTAGCTAAACATGTGAAGAAAGTTTGTGGCTGCAGGTCTGAACACTGCAAGCATCTGTGGGTGTGGCTTGTTCCTTCAAGTAAAACTCTGACTAAGCTGTTAGCAGTTTGATTAGCATTGTGGCTAATATTTGCTGCATTGATTTTTGCTCTTCTTTTTTTTTTCTTTTTTACAAATGATGTTGCATTTTTAGCCCGACAGTTTTACTGACGTGCATTTTGAGTCTCATTTAATATCCGCAATTATTGATTGATGAGCAGAATAGTACATCTCAGTTCTCTCTTTAGTCTGATCCTGTGTTTTATTACTGACTTGTTCAATAATCAATCCTGGCGTGCATTTGTTTCCAGCTCCTACACAGCAGAACAAACAGATCCAACCCTGCCGCCCCTTTTCTAATTAAGGCCCTATTGATCCAGCTATAAGGATTTTATTGTCGCCGCGGCCGTCCTTCCCGCTCGTACGGAAACTGATAGAGACGTCCTGGTCGATGCGGTTTACGGCGCGTTGCAGCTTTGAATCTGTTGAACTGTTCCTCAGTGTCGTCCCTTCGCTCGTCCGGCTTCTTTGTGAGCATCTTATTAAGATCAAAGAAGGAGATCTATACGGGTTGTGTTTATGCAGATGCAACACCGCTGCTATTTCTGTGTTTCTCTTGGTTTTCTTTCTCGCCGAACAAAATGGATGAAGCGTTTATTTACTAGTTTAGCCTCCTGAGATCTGGTCTATATTCAAGGAAGGCCTACTTGCATGTGCGCAGTTTTTTATATATAGGCCAGCATCTGATGTTATCACAAGCATGACTCTCGGCTCTCTCTGTGGCAGACCCTTCTTCCAAAGGTCCCTCAAAGGATGATGGGAAAGCTCTAACGCAGCCACCCTCAGGTAAAACAACCCGTCGCCTGCAATCTGCTTGACTCTGGTTTGGTGGCTCGCTTTACAGCATGTTGTTTCAAACTTTTTTAAAAGCTGTGCATTCAGAGGGTGTTTTTCCATCTGTTTTTGGCTGCAGCCCCTCATGTGCTCATAAATCAGCTTTTTTTTTTTTTGTCAAATTAAACCCGTGATTAATGGTGAGATTGCTTCTCGTGTCCGTAATGCTGCGTGGAGACTTCTAATATTCGCTTTCAGCTGCATTTGTAATGCTTCTGTCTTTCCTTTGGGGTGTTTTTTTTTTTTTTTCTTTCTTCTGGTTAATGACGCACATTCTGATGCGTTTTAAGCCTCGGTGCATTACAGATAACTGATTCAAAGCAGTTAATTTGCAACAAATGGTCAAGTAGCCTGAGGAATTCAGGGGGTAATTGCATCCCAGCTACCATGTGGTCTGTTCAGTCTTCCATGAGAGACCACTTCAGGAGTACATTTTCAAATATTTGCTGAAAAACAAGGCAATAACGGGACCAATTCTCACCAACCTGTGAGGTGACGTTGTTTGTTTTTATCAACTCTGCTTTCTGCACGTCCATGTTTGCAGAGGAACTGTAAGAAGTTTACTCTCTAATTAGACCCACCTCACTCTTTCAGTGTGTACCGGACGCAGAGTGGTTTATTTTTTTAGGAAAAATCAACGTTAAGTCATTTTTGTGTCACCGTAGCTGTAATTTTTATATCCGTAATCAGGGCGTTGTTGTCCTTTTTCATTTGTTATGTAAATTATTTCAAAATTAGGACACTCGATGACTCCTGACTGACTCGAGAGCAGTGCTAATAATCCTTCACTCGGTGCCAAAACATGTTTATTCCAAAATTGAATTACGAAACACAGCAAACATTGGAGACAATCCATGAATATTAGTTTTATTTTCTTTTTTGCTTTTTTTTTGCTGCATACATCTATATACAGATATTTACAGAAATATAAAAACTTGTGGCCATAAAAAAACATCCAAACAGTCTCAAGGTCCATAATAAACACAGTCCTAGAGCACATTTAATCCAACTTCAACACAAAGTGAAGCAGAGCCTGCCATGAAATAGTGAAAAAGTGGACCGGAGTTGTTAAATCAAGTGTAAAGAAAACATTTACTTGCACTGAACTGGTTGTAACTTTGGTCTGCTGGAGGAAAGCTGCACAAAACTCAACCTTGAAGTCTTTTCATTCACAAATCAATCTTTAGATCACGGCTAAGTTTGGTTGAAAATTGGAAAATCCATCTCTGCTTTTCTGCTGTGCTATTTTTCGATTTGCGGTAGCAGATTGTTTTCTTTTCTCTCGTCTCTGTGCTCAAGCTGCAGTTAGTTTCTTTGTGGTTTTAAAGATTCTTTTTTTTTCTTTTTAAACCTCTGCCGCACAAATATGTTGTTTATCTTGCCTTCTCGTTGGATTTAATGGCACCTCACGTTTAATCCGCGTGCAAATAAACTGAGCGAAGGCTTTGTGTGTCTCTGCTGTTTTGCAGCCAGTGCAGGTTGAGTCTTTGTTTCACATTTGTTGTAGCGCTAGAATCTAATCAGGGAGTTGTTTATTTTGGGCATAGTGAGTGAATGTAGTGTGTCGGTCATGGGTCAAACGTTTCAGACTCACAAGGTTTAAATTGTTCCCCCGGAAAACTTGTTAGAATAAAGTGTTTGCTCAGAAACTTGGTGCTGCTGCTGGTGGATCCTAATCAGAAACACGATGATGAATCCCTGTTGGTTTCTAAGCTACAGCACTTGTTCTTGTGACTTTAATTCAGTCAGTTTGATCCTTTAGTTTGTTTTCAAGCCATTATATTGTATATTTCCCTCCCTGCACATGTGCGTTGCAGTAGTTTCTTTGGAGACGTTGTGCATTTCAAGTTCTGCTTCTGTTAACCTTCAAACTGGTCACTGAGCTGCACTGAAGCGCAACTCGGGAGCAGCACCTTGTGGCGGAAACGAGGAATTGTCTGAAACCGTTCTGTGCAAGTTCCACTTACATTTGGAGATAATCTGGTAATTAAAGTGATTGTTATATGACTGGACAAAAAAGGGATTGTAACTCAAATCCCTCGGGCGTCTTTAGGAAATGAATTTGTGCAACAAGAGAAGCCGACATCAGCAACTCTGGCCGACTCGTTTTCTCCGGCACCGTATTTTCTAACTCTGTGATCTCAGCTCTTTGGGAGAGACGCTGGATTTATGCTTACAACGGGGTCGAAACCCCCGCAGACCTGCACTGTGTTGCTTTTGATTAATGCCGGTCTGTTTTTAGAGCGCAGCCTTTTGATAAAAGATGCAGCGGAAAGGTAAAAAGCACGTTTAGATCTAAAGGAATGTCTGGTGGTATTTTTCTCGTGAGAGTGTTTATAAAAAGGTGATGAAATGTCTGCGCTGTGTTCCAATTCGTCAGCTTCCAGCAAGTGGCCAAAAACATAAGTTATTGCTGCTTTTAAGATTTACAGTTAAGCCCAAATGGTGATTTATGTTTGTTTGACTAACGGGTTTCTTCTGACTGGAAATGACATAAACAAGTGATAAAGGCTGGTATGACATCGTGCTAAAGATATAAATTATAAAGTTGAACTATCTCTCTGTATTTCTTTTGTAGATTCTATATCATTCCGTATGGTTTTGGTCATTTCTACCATGTTGTAGAGCGTTTTAATAGACTATAAAGTGAGAACAGGTCAAGCAGCAGTTTTCTTCAGTCAACTTTAAGTCATGGCTTTAACCAAACAGCCGAGTAAGCTTGCTGTAAGGGTCTATTGCTGAGGAAGTTGTGCATTTTAACTGCTCACAGTATGGGAAAAGGCGCCACGTGATTTTAAATGGCCACAGTGCAAAGTAGAATCTAAAAGTACAAGAAGTTCTACCACAGAAATGTCCAAGAGCAGAAGGTCAAAAGTGACTCTTGCACTGGCAGACATGGTAGAAACCAAGAAGAATCCAAGTATCACCACCAAGACCAAGGTTCTGGTACCAACATCTGAACAAGGCTGGTGTCGATGGACGCCAACCAACTGAGACTCCGCTTCTCCAAGACAGATGGCTCAACTAGACAAATTCTTTAGATGGATGAGACCATAATGGAGTTGTTTGGACCAGCACTGGACCCCAAGAAGACCGTCTTCTTGGCCAAATGTGTTGGTGAGGGTGGTTTTTTTCAGCCACTTGTCCAGGCAACTTCATGAAAGTAAACATTGTCATAATAAAAGAGGACTGCATAAAGACTCTGGAGTTAATCTGCCAAATACTTGGGCAGCATTAGATCTTCTAAGAAGACAATGATGTGAAACATGGTAAGCAGAAAACATTTTGGAGCTGCCCAGCCACAGTTCAGACCTTTGAGAATTTGTGAAAGAAGAAATTTAACATCAAAGACCCGGAGTTTATTTTTATTTTATTTATTGTTTATTTGATGTGGACATCACAATTACATTGGACAAACCAGATGCATTGTTTGAGTGTTTTAGCACATGTGCTACTTCGCAACACTTGTCCACGGGAGGCTTTTGAAATTATAAAAAGTTCATTACAAAATCCCACTGAAGAGATGCAGGAACCTTGTTAGTAATTTTTTTTTTTTTTAAAGTTTGATTGATATGATGGTAAATCAACACTTTACCTCGGACTACTGAGAAAGAGGGTGAATGAATTTAGAATTTTGAGCAAAGCTGTAAAAAACAAACATGGAAATAGTTAGTGTTTGTCATTTTAAGCCAGAAGAGATCAGCGGTCCAAAGAAACTGACCAAAAATCAACATTTTGCATCAATATGACATGTTTTTAACTGTCTATCCTCCACTGAACTTAAAGTTAGCGAAATGGCTGATTTTGATGTTTGACATGTTGACATTTGCTAATTGGCACTAAACCCAAAGTAAAGCTGAGGATGTTTGTTCTGCTGTTGATTAATTACAAACTAAAGTATTGGACAAATTAAACTTTTGACCTGACGTTGGCACCAAACCGATGGTGTCCATCCGTCTTCGATGTGAGCACCATCACGGCGAAGACGGATGCGATATTTCACTCCGGACCAAAGTGGCGAACAGACACTTAGCCTTCCCCGGAGTCGCATCGCTAGAATTTATGGTCCACTTTGCTTTAACTGTTTTTATTGTTGACATTGTTCCATCGTTCATTTTGTGGCTGAAAGCGGCTTCAGGTCGGCATCAGCGAGTCATTTGTCAGCTGAGCAGACTGACTGGCAACAAGAGCGTTCTTTGTTTTATCTCTTCGTCCTGAAGTCTGTCGCCGCTTTTAGCTCGGCTGTAACGTCGCATCGGCCCGACGCTGGATGATGCAAATCCAGGAAACGAAGTAATAAATCTTTGTGCTGTAACAAAGCTGAACATTTATCTTTTAGAAGTTAGGAGCTCAAATGAACAAGTTAACAAGGCGTTTTAGATTCACAGCAGCTTGAGTCATTGCAGTAAGTCATTCTTCATAGATCAGACTGAGGTTTGACTGATTTTATACTCAATAAAATTTGGGGGCAAAATCTTGTTTTCAGCAAAAAAGTTTTTGCAGATTGATTAAAAAATGTCCAAATGTACAAGAGCACAAAATGTTTGAAGTATGTGTATATTTTTAAAGTTACTACTACAGAATATCAGTTGCATGTGTGGTGTTTATCCCCCATCAAAGCTTTTAGTGTTGTTCTTACTTGTTCTCTTCACTGGCTTTGACACAGAACCAGAGAGAGAAAGAAAGTGTGAGTTCGTCTTTTATGCGTTTGGTAACTTTGGTAAGATCTTTAACAAGTGTTGAAGCAGAGCACAGATTCCCAGTGTGAGTCTTTTTAACCTTCTGAACACCCAAATCTTCTGGTGAGTTTGAAAAGCATTTAGTCTCTTTAAAAAAAGTGCCTTTTCTCAAACAAGGAAATGTCTTGAAAGAGGCCTCAGTGTTTTGTTGACGGTGTGTGTTGGTTAAAGTGTTGACCGGCGCCCTGCTTTATCTTTCAGAAGCCAACGTGAGCACGTCGATCCAGGTGAACTCCACGGCCAGAGGCTCTGCTGCTGCCTGGGCCATACTGCCAGTCTGTGAGTATACTTAGAAACACATGACATGTTCATAGCTTAGAATCTAGATTATTTTGATTTTTTTAAAATGTTTTTTAAATTTAGTTTGATATTACAAACAATTTTTGAGATTTAAATTTTTTTTTTTTTATTGCCAGTCGACCCACTTTCAACATGTTTTGCGCTTTGAAATTTGAACCTGTTTTTAAAAAACAACAACAAAATATAGCAGGAACTAATAAAGATCTTTCTGTTTCTCATCATGTCATTGATTCGGAGTCTGTAATATTGGACAAGCAGATCAAATAATATCTGTGGATGGGTGAAAAGTCCCATCTTTGAGCTCTCATTATCAAAAGAGTCGTTTGCTGATATTTTCTGAACCATAATATTAAATACTTGGTCACAAACATGAAAATAAAGTTATTTTTGTAGAACTTTCATAGCTGATTGAGTAGGTTTGACAATTTGCACAACTATTGGTAGATAGATGGTCTGATCCAAGTTTCAGAATGGTTCTCAAAATATAGTTTTTAATGTCAACATATATTTTTAGTTTTTGATTATTATCTTTAACAGTTCCTGTGATGTTGTTGTCAAAGAGCCTCAAATTTTAATGCGTGAAAAAAACATGCTGAAAATAAGTCCACAAGCAATTTTAAAAATGTTTTTACTTTGCAAAGTATTTGATATCACTTTAAAATTTCACAGATACCATTTTTAATATGTATAGTTTGTGATAAAGTTGTAGGCGAATTAGAAACAGCTGATTTATTTGAGATGGAATAACCCTTTACTAGTGTCAAGTATCGTGTCGAGTACTTTTTTTAATTGAGCCACCTACTGAACATGATCTGATTATCGTCCCTCAGTGCTGCTGGCAATGGCGGCAGCAGGCGGCTACCTGATGTGGAGAAACTGGCAGCTGAAGAACCAGAAGAGCATGAACTTCGACAACCCCGTCTACCTGAAGACCACGGAAGAAGACCTCAACATCGACATCACCCGGCACGGCGCCAACGTGGGACACACCTACCCCGCGGTGAGTCGACCCGAACGCACAGTCACCTTCCACGAATACCAATAATATTAGTGTTTAGCAGCCGCTTGTTTTCACCCTGAGAGGATGGAGGCTGCATGTCAGCGACCTCCACTCTCACCGTGACCTCGCGGCCTGCAGTAATCCTGAGTGCATTGTCGGCCGTCCACGTCTCTCTGTACACAGATTAAACAGATTAACCTAAGCCCGGCCAGAGTCACAAGATGGACTCAAACCTCTGCCGTCGCCCTCGCAGCTGCAGCACACGTCTCTCTGCATGCACAAGGAAAAAAATAGCATGTATGAATTAAACAAAGAAAACAAGAAAACACATTTAATGAAGCCACTGGTTTCCCTTTCTCTCCCCCTTCCCCTCTTTCTGCCTCCAGATTTCAATAGTGAGCACAGACGACGATTTATCCTGATCGTGTTGGGTTGTTTCCTTCTTCTTCTTCTTCTGTTTTTTTTGTTTTGTTTTGTTTTTTTCCCCGTGACGTCACGCGGCGCCTCCTCGTTACCATGCTGACGGTTGTCCGTGGCAGCAGAAGCCCTTACAGTACGACCACATGCCTTCTGAAGTGCATTACGTCATTACGCGTGGCGAAAGAGGAAACGTTTATTTATTATGTGAATACTACGACGGCTTAAGTGTCACAGCTGTTTTCACTCTGCGTCCAAAGTGTTACGATTTATTTTTTGTTTTTTTCCCTTCTTTCATCATTTTCGGCCACTTTCTTCGCCTGCATCTTAAAAGGAAGTCCGGCGGCATCTTTTTTTTCACGAGGCGACAGCGATGAAATTTCCACCATCCTATTGCCTCTTGTGTTCAGAACGAACGGCCAAACTGAGGGTTTTTCTCCGGCTAAGCGGACGAACTCTGAGCTCCGAGGACTCGACTCTGCAAATATCTGACAAAAGCGACAGACTCGAGGGTCAGAGGGCGGCTTAGAAGTGGGGCGTTAAATTGGTCCAAACTTTTTTTTCTTGCTTCCTCTAACATTCAGATGTGAATATTTCTGTGCGATCATGTTTTGGGCGGTTATATCTAAAAAAATTTAAAATGTAAGTTTTATTTTCTGTTCATTTCTATGTTTTATTTCCATCAGTACCTCCTGGAGTGCATTCCTACTGTCTGTCAGTATTATTATTATTATTATTATTATTATTATTGAAGCTGTGTAAAATCACCACGGTTACAGCATTTGTAAACAATGTACATACCTACACATCCTCCCTCAGAGACATGACCGTCAATCAGGACACTCTTCAATGCACTTTGATCAAATGTTTCCTTGTGTAAATAAGATTGTATACATTTGACTTGAAATCAATTTTTTGCTATGGTTGGGCATCGTACCAGGGTTAGAGTTCAGATGTATTTAAGAAGAAAGAAAACGAGAAAAAAATACAAAAAACACAACTGAATTTGGTAAAACTATTTTGTATGTTTGTGTGCTGTTGCTGTGAACTTTTTCTAGCCTTGTACAGTGAGGGGGAAACACGATTTAAAAAAACAAACAAACAAAAAAAAAAAAACAAGCTCTGTATCTGTGAAGAAAACTGATTCGCAAACCACTTCGGAATTAAAAACTAATCCACGACGTTGTTCAAAACGCAGTGTTCTGTTTTCTGTTGTGCAATAGATTGTATGACACCGTTTGGCCAAAGGTACGCTCATAACCACATGCTGCTGTGGGTTTTTTTTGCCCGATTTTCAAGGTCAAGATGCCAAAAGGAAATCCTAATGCTGTGTGATTACAGTGCAGGTGGTGAGCCAAGAATAATACC